GAGGAGCCTGTATGAGGAGGCTTTCCGGCCTGGGTCCAATGCAAAGTGGAGACACCCCCGAAGTCTTTGTTCAAACCAAAGTGGCAACCAATGAAAGATAGAAGATTCCCAGAAAAGAACATGCTGAATACAGAAACAATTTCGATCCTGTAGACAAAGGCCATGAGTACCCAAATTCAGGAAACGTCCATGTTCAAACAAAGGTGGTAAACAAAGCGGACTCCTTGCGCTGGGGCTCCGAAAGATATATGAAGGAAGCCAGAATTGGAACCCACCTTCTTGAGTGGACCAACTGATTTGGACCCTTCATCAAACAAGAAGAATGCTGAGAGCGGAACATGCTACATTTTTGTTGGACGCACTTGTAGCTAGTTCATAGGGCTACGCTGGGGTGTCTGAAGGTGCGCTCATTGCACGGAGTAACTTAAGAGTTTTGGTATGCTTTCGTAACAGCATGGTCGTTGTGGCTATGCCACCCACGCTGAGGATTGCCGGTGTTGGGCTGGGCGGTACACAAAGGGCCTGCATGAGTATGAATGATGGCCAGTTTGAATCTAGGTGTTGTCAGCGTACCCAGCATGCCTGCATTTCCACCCACATCCGCTCACATTCGACTGACATGCACAAAGAACAATCATAAATCATGATATGAATGATCTCGTCTTGCTGAAGATAAGATATCCTGCACCAAGGCAGGATACATACCCTTCCAGGGACAACTGGATGAGCCACAGTAATCCAGTCGGCTGAGGTGTAGGCGGCGACGAAAACGCACAATAGTTGGACATACGGGTGGATGACAGAATGGCAACACCCAAAGAATCACACAATGAACATACGCCATTCCAAAAGAATCGCCTCAATCCCATGTCGATGCGAAGGATCAAACCCGCTACTTGGCATGCACGGTCAATGCATGTGGTCCGCTACACTGCTAGCTAGCCGTAGCGTGAGCCTGACGCTGAAATGGTGAGACGAAGGTGGTCATAAGACGAGCCACCATCCGATTGGAAACGCCCCGCGAGGCGGGCACGCTGGACCTGCACAGCATGCAGATCAGGGCCTCAGCCTTCGAGGGAGAGTCGGTCTCCGTGACGGACCTGCTGACGGACTCGCTGGCCCTCACGGGCTCGGCCACGCTGGACCGGCTCACCGCGCAGGGCAACGTGTGACCAGCTGCTGCGCAACGACGTGAAGCGCCAAGCTGAATCACAAAGCGCGTTGAAATCGTACAATTTCCCTCATAACCAAGCCCACTCCTCTGTGCATGAGTCCAGGCAATCCTCTTTACCTAGGACTCACTCAAAGCAAGTGCAGCTTATCTATGCCGCCCGTTGGTTTGTTACTGTGCAGCAACGGAAAATGACACCAAGCCAAAACCGCCTGTTCTCTGGGGGGGTGCTAAGCAAAGTACGTGTTTGAGTCCTCAGCAAAATGCCGAACCTCAGTGATGGGGCATGCCAGCTGCCTCGTTCAAGCTGCGTGGAAGCGCTTCTACTGGATTTCCTGTGTAATAATATGTATATATATATATAACAGCCCCACCAACCGTAGAATCAACCCAAACCCAACACTCCAAGCAGCCCCACCCACCATGCCACAGGGGGGCGGGGGGGTTGGTGGGGCTGTTTTAGGATGGTTAGGATGGTTTGCATTGGGCTTAGGGTTGGCAACCTGCAAGGGTTGATGTGGGATGCGTTTTGGGAATGACCTGCCCACCCTGTGCAGTGGTTTTAGGGCTTGCTTGCGTTCGGTTTGGTCTTAGTTGGTTTGCTTGCTCATCAAAGGAACTTTAGAAGAGACCTTCGTGGTGCGGACACTAACTGATAGCTAGCTCTCTGAACGAAGACGAAAGAGGAATAAGCACGCATGAGCAAATGCGCGTGCTTGTTGCAGGGAATAAACATATGCAAAAAGTGCAGCCTTCTGCTGGCTTCAGCTCCTTCGGATGCTCGAGAGCTAGCCTGATTGCTACGCCTGCTCTTGGAGGGAGCTCGGGGAGCTGGAGGCGAGCTTAAAGCGGCCTGCGGTCCAGGGTCGGCCCACCAAAGTGCGCAGAGTGCGGGGGGGATCCCATGGGCGAAAAAGGTTGAAACAAGGGCACCACTGGGCTGGGACCCCCTGGCCCACTCGCTTTGACTTGCCAAGTTGCCCAGGTGCCACTGCAAAGCGGGCACCTCGTTTTGCTCCGCCGCTTGGAACCAGGTCAGGTCTTCACGTACCTCCGTAGAGGCCCCAAGAAGGGGAAACCCATCCGATGTTCAGCGAAATGAAAGGCAATGGCTCAAAGAAATGTACCCCAAAATGGCAGCTTGGCGTATGGAAACGAAGACTCTGCGTATAACCCCAGCCACGTGGTTTTGAGCCACGCTCGAATGATTCAGGAATCGACCACTGCCAATGGGAATTTGCTTCCAACAAGCAACCAGACCTCAAGTTGTCAAGTCGAGCGGCTTGCCCTTCTGCACTCCAGTCATATTCGGGGACGCTTTAGAACCAACGCTCAATCAATGATAAACCAGCACTAAACTGATACTAAACCTATTTTCAAAGGATATTTGGGCCCGGTGGGGGGGGCAATTTGGACAGGGACCATACGGAACTCCTAATGTTCCCTATCAATAACTATTGTTCGGCCCCCACGCGAATATCTTCGTAAGAGCCGTGTGGATACGGGAAACTAAACGGAAAACACATGTTCATCGCCTCGGGGCTTGGTCATCGTCTTGGAGCATCGGTCAACCCTGGCTGGGATAGCCCAAGTAGGCAGCACTCGTCTATCGAGAACCCATCAATTTTGCCAACTTCTGGCAACAAGTCTGCATGGACATATTCTGAGAAGCTTAGGGCCGCAAACGTTGAATCATGCGTTGAATTTATGTTCCAGTTTCCTCTTTAATTGGTTAGTTCTATGTTTTGCTTTGTAATCGTTCTTTTGCATTCGTTTTTCCATTTGCAATATGTTTGAACATTTGGCTGAGCCCTGAGTCCCATAAGGAGCAGTTTTGCATTGTATATAATACATGTTCGGTCATTTGATTTACATGCTATGGAATTCCAGGTTCAATTGGCTTGTCCCGTGCTTCTTTTGCAACTGTCCTCGAGGTGCTTGCATTCAATTTGCGTGAGGCTCGCTTGCCTTGTCCTGTTGCTTTGCTGCAATTGTCCGAGGTGATTGCATGTTGTGTTGCAAAAACATGTTGTTTACAATTGAATGACAGTTTGCGGATTTTCAGGCTCCTTTGGCTTGTCCAGCGTTTTGTTTGTGTTTGTTTGTTTGTTTGCTTGTTTGCTTGTTTGCTTGTTTGTTTGTTTTTTTTTCGTTTGATTGTTTGTTTGTTTGCTTGTTTGTTTGTTTGATTGTTTTTTTTGATTGTTTGTTTGTTTGCTTGTTTGTTTGTTTGATTGTTTGTTGTTTGTCTGTTTGTTTGCTTGTTTGTTTGCTTGTTTGTTTGTTTGTTTGTTGATTTGTTGATTTGTTTGTTTGTTTGTTTGTTTGTGTGTTTGTTTGATTGTTTGTTTGATTGTTCGTTCGTTCGTTTGTGTTTGTTTGTTGGTTTCTTGAATTGTTGGTTTGTTGGTTTGTTAGTTAGTTAGTTAGTTGGTTTGTTGGTTTGTTTGTTTGTTTGTTTGTTTGATTGTTTGTTATTGTTTTTGTTTGTTTTTGATTTTTGTTTTCTGGTTTGGCTGTTGTCCTCGAGTTGTTTTGCATGTTGTTTCAATGTGGTCTACATCTGATTTACATGTTGCTGTCGTTGCTTGGAATCACAACACCCCAGCCCCACTGTCTATGCACTTGCAGCGTTTCGGAAAAAAAAAAAAAAAAAAAAAAAAACGCTCGCCCATCATGATGATTTCGTGTCCCATTCAAGCGAGGAACGGCAATTCTCTCATCACACTTGCTGACATGGGCAAATCTGAGCAACCAGGGGCATGCGTCAACATCACTCGCCAGGTGCCCCAGAATATCCGACTTACGGTCTGCATTTGCTTTGCACAGGATGGCGCGATGTTTGACGGCATGACATCTCCGCTGAATGTTGGCTTACCCCTTGATTGATTACGGCCGTGGCCCCTTTGTTATGCCCCCAATTTCAGGGGCACATCGAAATTACAATCTCTGCTTTGTGGCATTGGGCTCATTTTGCGAAGTGCCCCCCCCCTTCCCAGGGTCAAGATGGCCTAGCATTCCGCGCCACCTGCCAACACTTGCCACCTCTGTGACCCTAGCCTTCCATTGGGCCCAACCAGTGGCACGGTAAATACTAGGCGCAAGCGCTTGAGCATCATGCGAGCTCCATCTTAGCGCAACCTTGCGATGCCATGCCCAAAAAAGGGAGCCACGCTTTTTTTTTGGTGATTTTCAACCCTCAAGAAGCCTACAACACATGTCTCGGGCCACAAGTGGTGGCAGCGCTATTTTGGCGCCCAGCAGTTTACTGATCGCAGAGAGCAAAATGTTGAGTGCGTGTGACTCGTTGCTTCCCAATCACGGTGCGACGGTGTGGACTGGAGTTGGCTGGGGAACATCAATTCGAAACACCTTCTGCCTGCCATCCTTTCGGCATCCAAGCGTCCACCAAGCCGCGAATGGGAAGTATGTCCTCAAGTCAGGACGTGGTGCGGCAAGACGTTAGTTCAAAACGCACGGCTGCAGCAGATTTGCGCGCCGGCTGCGGAGTCGTCAGCTTTCCACCAATTGGTGGTTTAGATTGGTGGTTTGCAGGTTTGGGGGTAGTTTCCCATGTTCCCCTCTACAAAGGCCACACTGTCAAATCCCTAAACCACCAATTGCGGTTTCTGATGTCACGCGCAGGACATGACACGTTGATAACACGTCGGGAACAACTAATAGAAGCAACAAGTTCAAAGCCTTGGCAGTGCAGACTGCTGGTTTGTTTCAGCATTCTGCGTGCCTCTTGCATCAAGCAATGGGCACGCTGGCTGCTTCAAGGACTTGAATGTCCGGGGTGGTCCGAGTTAGTTCTCTCCTCGGGCGCTTATTGTGGCGCCGTGGTCTTTTTGCAACACCTGCGGATGGAGATGCAACAGCAGATGAGCGACAAGAGAAACAGCGGGATGCTGCATATGGCCAGTGCCAGAAGGCCATTAAAGCCGGACTGGTCGCCATCATAGGTCACGATCTCTGTGCCCCCATCCTTGCGCAGACCAAAGAAACCTTCGCCCTTTTTGCCTGAAGAGGCTGCTCAACAAGGCAGAAGAAACCTTCATCGCCTTTTCCCTAAAAAAAAAAACAGGAAACAATGGAAAAACAGGGTTCCCCCTTTGCAAGTGAGCATCCACACCACATTGGCTATTGCCTTCGCCTTTTGCCAAAAAATGATTATGGAAGAAAGACAAAGCTCCCCTTTTGCAAGTGAGCATCCCCTCCATATTGGCCATTGGGCGTGTCCGGGAAGCTGGGACCCTCGTCGATGATATAGTAGGAGGCACTGGGATACTGACTCATCTCGCTGCGCTTGATACCTTCCAGCGTTGCCACCGAGAAAAAAAACAAAAGCATCGGCGCGCAGGACCCCCAGTGGCCTTTGTTGAGTGACCCCTTTGGGCTATTTCCCCGGGGATTTGACGGGGAAAGTCCTGGTGGCCAACTCCCTAAACGGGATGCAACGGGAGAACACCGATCCGCCAAATTTGGGCCATGCACCGTAGATGCCGGTGCAATATCCCAGCTCCGCATAGGATGCGATCAAGTCCTCCTCTACGTCCCACACCGTCTTGTGCAAGCTGATCATGGATGCCCCTGCAGCGGCATGGAAGATCCCTGTTTTGAGGAAGAAGTACAGGCCCAAAGGCGCGTAACCTTGGCATGCCTGATTTCCAAAGCAAGTTCGCTTGTTGGTAGTTTTAACAACATTAAAAAAAGGCAGCACAACCTGATGGAAATGTTACCAAAGCCTAGTCCAGCAACTTCCTGGGTGCAAAAACACGGACACGTGATTGTCCATGCCGGCCTTGTGCAGCTCATTCACCAACCTCAGCGTTGCACTTCTATGCGGAAAGTATTAGAACATTGGGTGGCTGACATGGGTGAGCTCAGAGTTCCGCCCAAATCTACCGGACTCGACCCAATGCAAGGCATGATTATTGTGCCGAACAATTTGTTGTTGTTTGTCTTCCTTGGGAGTGGGTGAACCCAAAAAAGTATTTTTAACAACCAAACGCATTGTTTACAAACTGACACTCCTTAAACATCCTAGAATACACCAGCAGAGAACCAGTGTTCTTTGGACAGGAATACACCCTTGGAACATGACACCTTGATCCATGTGTATTGACTCGCACCTTTGCGCACCTGCGACGGACGGCCCCTAACCCCTGCGCGCAATAATTGAAACGCCTTAGGCCACATCTCGCACAGCTGGGAATGCTGAGGGCGCCTCTTTGTACGGACACTTTCCTGTTACCAAGAAAAACATGGCGACATTTTCGTAAAACGGGGTTGTCTAGGACGACACCCAGTACGAGCGGCATTCTCCCCGTGGTTGGCAGGCCGGTGGCGAAGATCGAGCCCATCTTCGCAGTGCAACTCGAGGCCCGCAACGCTTCCACCGCCTTCGGGGCTGCGGCATCCGACTTCACGTCGAAGTCCATGGCAACCGTGGGACTCGCGGTGCAGGCGCCGGTGACCACCTGAAAATTTGGAAAGCCCTGCCCATGGACCTACATGCGTTTCAACCCAGCTCGATACAATTTGCGCAGAGCATGCTGATCAAACTGAAAAACCAGCCTGAACATACATGCTTATACATAGATATGTGTCGCATTCTATGTACTTGTAGAACAGTGTGTATAATGTATATATATATAGCCGAACCAAGCAATGTGAATGAACAGTAAAGACTCAAGGCCTACTAGCAAAACATCAAGCGGCTGTCTCCAAGTTCGACAAGTATGTCGTGGAGCCATAGTCGTAGCCATCGATTTCTGCCAATACCTTCAACGATGATTTTCACCCTACACCTACGCCTCTTTTGTTCTGAAAAAAAACTAATACACAAATGGTTTTACAACAAACACAACAAACACATGTTCTGACATCATCATGTAAGGGCAAACAAGCAAATGTTGCCAAACGCTGACATAGATACGGTGAGGCTTTGAATCTCGCTCCAGGGCGTATCCACGACTTGCTTGTCCACGCCGGTCATGCGCACCAAACTGTCATCATGATGGATGATGGCCATGTCATCCTTAAAGCCAAGTGGGGCCATGGGCCACGGGAGGGTGATGTTCCGTGATTGAGCCCCCTTTTGGATGGTGAAAGGGGTGTCCAAAAGGACACCAACCAGTTTTTGAGGTCCATGGTTAATACCCATATTGGGCATGTTTAATCCAGGGTTCATGATCAATCCCATTTGGAAACCCATGTGGGGATCCTTGGGGCCTTTCAAAAGCATAAATTGGCGAATCTGAGGTCGAGTCCTCTTGGCCAAAGCACTGAAACGCAAGCCACTCGCTGTTGCTCAAGTGATTGAACCGAGAGGCCCCGCTTTACAGGGGCTTCATTCAGGAAGTCCCCAGAATGTCCCCCCTTCTATGCCACCAAGATAGAAACCTAGGTTGTTGATTCATTTATGCCACCCTCCCACTTCATTGAATTCAGTGCCAAGTGAAGTGAATGGGACAGTAGCAGCGGATTGACCGGAAGACTCTACACAGCCTACACCGGAAGCCACACCACCGAGACTTCCACCATGAAAAGAAAGGTTGACCCCATTTGGATGATGACAATTCTGAGGAAAACAGTAGTGGCTATCTGAACCCCCATTATTTTAATGGTGGCAACTGAACCCCAGGGTCTGACGTCACCATGATGTCGAACTCGGGGTTCGCGCCGTTCGCCGCCGTTCCGGTCACCTCGCTCTCATAGGTGTTCTCCTGAGCGAAGCTCAGGTTGCCGCGATGGAGGTACACTTGCGGCCCCCAAGACTGGTAGCACTCCCGTCGTGGCTTGGCCTGCGATCCGTACCTGCGAAGCGAACTGCGGAAAGTGAAACCTCAAAAGTGGGCCGGTTCTATGACTTTGTCATTTTCGAGGCTTATATCATAGAAATATGTGCCTAAATACTTCTCCACAAAAATGCACAAATCGCTGAAGCGGGAAACAAGCCCCCAATACCAACATGGGCCGGTCAATATGATTTTCTCACTTTAAAGTTCCCGTAGTAGCACAAACCATGTGCCTGAGATCTAAACAACTGTCCGCGAACATGTAGAGATCGCGTAAGTGAATGTAAAATTATGAATCTCAGAATAGCTGCTCGCACAGCCCAGCAAATTCAAACAACTAGCAATGTGTTGTCGAAGAAAGTTCAGGAACGTTTAATGAACCCAGCCTGTTGTGGTACACCCCATTTTAGGACATGTCCTTTCATAGAAGCTTTGTTGGTTGGCAGCAAGGGTGAGTTTGCCACGAACAAAACACAAATCTGGGCAGATGCGGTCGAGAGGCAAGACCGCAAAGGTGGCAATGATGCCCACGAGCCAAATCACGCTGCAGCAGCTGGAAAGAATGACCGCAAAAGTTGTGCAACCCATCGCTTTCCGATTTCCTCTGCTAGCCTTGAGCCTTGTCACTCACGGGACAAAAACAACTCGGGTGACCGTGCCCAAAGCAAAAAAGCACAGCCTGGCGCAAAACTTTCCCAGTGTTCATGCGAACAGCTCAAACACGTCCAGACTTCGAAAGATGTATAGTGAACCGCAGCATTATGCAAAAGGAGAGGCTTGCATGGACAGTAATTTCCCAATCACGATCTCAGTGTGTGTGTTTCTGTTGCGTCTCCAAAACGTACAGGACATCAGTTGACATCAACCACAGCATATTCACCTTGAAGATGGGTGAATTCAGTTTTTACTCTCCTGAACATCTAACATGGATTCGCAAAGGCACTCCCCAACAAAGCGGCTTGCCCGCACATCAGTGCTTGTTCGGTCTCTCTCTGCTCTTTTTCAGGAGGATTCCGGGTTGGGGCACTTACAGATTCGGGGCAAGTAGTGAGTTCCCTTTGGGCCGCGACTCCCCCATGTAAAGAATTAAGAAGGCAAACGCACCTATTTATGGTGGGGATGGTCCCTTACTAACCTTCATCTACCCAGGTTTGATTGTGACTCAAGTGAGTTAACACCCACACAAATCGTTGGACAAGCTCCGTGTTATGTCCAAGCGGGTCCAATGAGAGCCAAGACTTTGAAGGCGTGAATAATTGATTGCACCATTTGAGGTCATGACCATAGAAGATATTAGTACCCTCCGGGCTAGCATGGAAGCTCCCACGAGGTACCTGGCAGTTTCCATATCAGCCTCAAAGCACGGAACGCATTTTACATTACTAGACAAATTGGTAAATGTGTAATAGATACACAAAATAGTGGTTCCCCTCTCGGCCCCCCGTTGAACCGACTTGAAAAGGATTGTTTGCCCCCCAAACAAACTTAATTTCGCACCCGCAACCGGACCCCGCCTGTGCTAAGCTCCGGCTCTCTGAGCTACCCTGATCGAAAGAATGCATGGGGCAAACTGGGCGCAATCTGTTCGAGTCAAGTCTGGCCTGAAAAACGTGTCAAGCATTCGCAAGAGAGAGAGAGAGAGGGGGGCCTGTAGTTGTGCAAATTATGAGAAAAGTGGTTTGTGCAGGAAACGCTGTCTTGACTGTATGCAGCGATTATACTGTGCAAGAGCACAGGTGACACACTGCTTGTGCAGCCCAAGCAAGGTTTTTGTCATGGAATCTCGCGTATATATGGACCACAACTCAACAAATCAAGACAATTTGTCTGGCAAAAAAAGGCGAGGATGCTATCAGCATCCATGCATACTGTGAGGAGTGAGTGAATGTTGGCATGAAACACATGCCTTGTGAGGGGTACACTAAAACAACATGTTACATGCTGCCAACTAAGATCCATTCAACAGCCGGGGATAGTGAAGGGTAGTGGGGATGTAGCTAGCACAACTTCTCTAAATCGAAATAGAAGGACTTGCTGGTTGAAAGGCTAATTATTGGCAGCTGATTCTCTTGCCTTCCGCAACGCCACAACTGGCTGGATCTCATTTCGGACTCGATTAGACTCTTTTTGCCACAAAATCGAAGGGCCATCTCGTTTTGCAGCGCTTTGTGCTGTGCCTTCCAGCTCGTGCCCTTTCATTGCAAGCGCGGCATGCCAACTTAAAAACAAAAAAGTACTCGTGTAGTGCACAGAATGCGCTTGGGCAGGTCCAGCTCAAAAAACACAACCTTTCTGTAGTACGTGAAGAGCGCTTTGGCAGCTCCAGCGCGCAAAAAAACACTTCTCAGCAGAAGCAAATATGCGAAGCACGCTTCGGCGTCGCCAGCTCGGAAATCGCCATCTCAAGGTACAAGTGAGTACGCGGAATGCGCTTCGGCAGCTCCGCTCAGAAATCACAATTTGTCGGTTCAAGCAATATGCGAACTGCGCTTTGGCAATGGTTCACTTTGCGAAGCCATGACAATCGTTGCGGACTCGTTTTGGACCTGGTCTGGACTCGACTCGTTTTGGTTTGTTGCGGCTGCACGCACAGCAGTGACTAAGTCTCCGTCTCGTTTCGTTTCAGGGGGGGCAAATTCTTGGCTGGTTAATTGGTGGGGGGCAATTTCGTTTCGCAGCGGTCCTGGTTTGAGGGGAACCTCCTGTACGGGGTTCTGTTGAAAGGCATACGTTAAAGGAAGCCATTCATCGGGTTCAGTCTTGAGAACCCACGTCCTGGGAGTCCAGAACGGCTGCATCCGCTCCACTTTGAATATTGGCAAACAGAACGGAAAGCCAGGGGAAGCTAGTGGTGCCCCACCAGGCAGAAAGCAAATCACGAAGAAGAAAAAAATCAAAAGAGCTCGGATCAGCCAGCAACTAAGGAACGAACAAAGTAATTAATCTAAAAAGAAAAGAAGAGTGAGACAGTGAAAGAGCAAGCAAGCAAGCAAGCAAGCAAGCAAGCAAGCAAGCCAGCCAGCCAGCCAGCCAGGCAGCCAGCCAGCCAGCCAGCCAGCCAGCTATCCAACCCAATCCAACAACAAGACTGCTTGCGATATTCTAGCAACTAACAACTTGCGCAGGCACGCAAGCTCTTGCAAGCAAGCCAACAAGCCAGGTCAAGGGTAATCAAGAAAGCAAGCCGGCAAGCCAATCAAATGATTGGCAGAAAGCCAGTCAGCCAGCCAGCCAATCAAACAACGAAACCAATCAACCAACCGATCGATTCATCTGTCTATCCAATCAAAACGAGCAAATTCACAAAACGCATGAATATACACAAGATTGCGTTTGGTCTTGGAATATAGCTGACTAAGTACGAGTAGCCCGAGCCGGGGCTATCCATTCGCTTGAAACAAAAATTATGGAATGATGACACGTAACAAGGTTATGTGCCCTTCCAGGTGGGTCCCCACGCAAATGGACAGGAACTTTGGTTGGGGACCGTTCGGTGGACCAAGCATCACACCGCCAATCTTGCAAAGAAGCCAGCAAAGAAGCGGGTTCTCAATCTTGATGCAGTCACACGCACACACACACACACCTTCACACCTTCTAGCTGCAGAGTTGGGCAAATACAACGCCTGGCTGCTTCGTGACATCGCGACTGACGCCTCAAGCCGCTTGGTGTCGCATGGTAGTGATGCCTCAAGCGTCGCTCAAGACATGAGCCAATTTGTGTGACTATCATCCCCTTGCTACAATACTCTGTCGCTTTCTGCTCCCCTGCTAAAAGTTTAAACTTTAGTGGTTTACTGGAAAGCCCATGGGTTGGCAAAAAGTTAAAGTCCTAACATCCAAGGAAAATGCACCAAAGAATAGATTAGGGTGAATACACTTTCTCGAATTGAACCGCTGGTTTCCCCGCCTCAACGTCAGTCTGGCAAGGCTCCTGGCGCAAGTCCCCATGCAGAAATAGCTCTTCCGAGAAGTGCTATGTACCCCCCAAAACCACTCAAGATTCTCACGTGTCAAGAAAACTTTGCTGGAGGCACCCTTGATTCTGTTCCTCGGCAGTGCAGGAAGCGCTTATTTGTCGCTCACAATAAATAGGGCAAAACTGTGGAGCTCGAACATTCATTCTCTGTCGCTGTTGGCGCTAAACAAAATCTGCGGAAGTGGGGGGGCTCAACATTGCAAGCTGCAATCCCCCTGCTGTAGCAGGCCTATATTTGAAACACGACAGCCATTTTAAATCGCTAGCTGCACGCTATACAAAAATATGACACGTACAAATCGTGCTGTTTTCGTGCAGAAAACACATGAAGCGCCGAATGAGGGAAGGAGGTTGAAGGGTAAGCTTAAAGTGTGGAAGAGGTGGTCCTCCCGACTCAGTGCCTGCTTCCCTCATTAAGACCGAGCACACAACTCAAAGGTCAGTTTGGGCACGTTCAGTTTTCATGTTCAAAGGGGGTCCGGGGCAGGAAAGCTCCAAACACAAATCTGAAACATGTTGCCGTTGCGTCATGTGACCTCCACCTCAATGATCACTTCAACGCAAGATCCTGCAAGCTGCTGACCTCTGAACATTCAGTCTGAGGAATACTGCTCTGCAGATTGACCTGGAAGCAAACTACTTGCATTAACACATGGCCCCACGTCGCTCCTTGTCCACTTCCGCTTCTGCAGCACCGGGCAACGGAGGCGGCCCTGGGTAGCCTGAAACGAAGTCATGAGTCACAGATCAGCGTCCTTTGCACCATGAAGGTCGTCCCCTCTCAGCCAATGGCAAAGAGATATCTCCATAGAGATGTGGCGGGATCCCATTCCCTATTTGTTTGGTGCAACAACTCCACTTCTTGGTGGCTCTCTGATGTGTTGCTGTTTGGTGAGCCACATTGCTTGTACGGCTGGCTTACTGAATATTACAAAAAAGCTACACACACACACACACACGCACACACTCACACACACACACACATACCATGGAAACATATAAGGCTCGCCTCCTGCCTTCAACTTACGGGGCAAATCATTCATGCAGTTGCGGCTTCCGTATTCCCGGCTTGCAACAGGCATGCAGGAATGCGACGCACAAGCACGCCATTTGGTGTCTTCCCAGGAAGCTTGCCCACCACAACGGCACGAATTCCGCTTCCTATCCAAAAAAAGGTCCCTTATCACAGCTCAGATGCCCAGTGGCCAGGGGACAAAAGGGCATCCTTTTTGTTGGTTGATGCTTGACTTTAAAGGGAACCCTTCCCAAAAAAAAGGAAAAACGGCCCCCACTGGACAACTGGGCTAGTTGGTGCAAGTCCCACTGTCAAGTGTTGCTACCCTCGGCTCCAGGCGAAAAAGCACGAGCGAGTGATTGTGATAAGACACGAGCTCTAGGTGAATATATCGCTATATTCCCAGCACAA